CGATGCTAGTTTCCAGTCAGACCCGGATGACTACAGATCGCAGTCTGGCTATGTTTTCTGCTTGAACAGAGGTGTTGTTAGCTGGAAGAGTTCCAAGCAAGCGACCGTTGCAGATTCTACTACAGAAGCTAAGTATATTGCAGCGTCGGACGCAGCAAAGGAAGCTGTTTGGATCAGGAAGTTTGTTGGCGACTTGGGTGTCATTCCTAGTGCTGATAGCCCCATTGCTCTGTATTGTGACAACAATGGAGCCATCGCACTATAAAGGCGTGTATCAGGTACGAAACGAATCATGTGCTGGATTGTAGATAGTCAAGACAGGATTTGTATCTCTCGTAAAAGAGAGAGATATCGCTGGGCCCCTCGTGTGAGCGAGACTATAGAAATGTGTGGCCGCACTATAGACGAACGTCACGAGAAAGCAGTCGAATCAGATAAGGTGGCTTGTCCATGCCTTATGTTCGACATATGATATCGTGATACAAAAGGATCATCAACCGGAATCATCGCTAGCGTTCGTAAGATCACGAACAAACTCTATTCGAGATAGGTAGTCATAGTGTCTTGCTAGAGACCGTCTATGACTTGTATATCCGGAATAGAGATTTTGGGTTATACTACTATATCGAATGAGCCTACAGGGTCACACACGCAGGGAAGGATGAAACACACGAGAAAACGACAAAAAAACCGAGACGGAAGGGGTTGGAACGGACGGACCGAAAGGGCCAGACCCGACGGTCCACGTTTAGTCGCAGACCGTCCGTTCTAAGTGTTGGAACGGACGGTCTGCGTTGACAGCAGACCGTCCGTTCTGGCTTGCTGGAACGGACGGTCCACGTTTTTTTGGACCGTCCGTTCCGGGTTTCGGGTTTTTTCGAAAATTAAACCGAATTAGGGTTAAATCACCTTATAAGAAGGAGATTAAAACCCTAATTAACTAAGAGACTTTTTGAGCCGTCTTTGGCAGAATTCTAAGGGCTTTTGGTGAGATCCAAAGAGTTCAAGGAATTCTAAGTCTTGTTTTCTCGAAGCATCAAACCGAATAGCAGATTCGGGTCCTAGCAGACAAGTTCCAACCGTTGGAATCCATCCCGAGGTGTGGAAACGTTTAGAGGGTGAGGTATTCTTCCTCTCTTTCGTGATCGAACGAGTTCTTCAATTGATACAGGCCCCGATCGACTACGATTCATAAAAAGCATGGTTCTAGGGTTTTATAAATTTTTGTTTTACATCCGCTGCGCAAACCCTAGAATCGATCTCTTAGGAATATGATTCGCTCTAGAGATCCCAGGAAACCCAACAGATTCTCCATCCTTAGAAACAATCCCTGCGCGTTAAGGTTACGGTGGTTTAGTTATTTGATTTCACTTAGTTTGTTTATTGTTTTATTTCTGATATTCATATACTTCATCTACTATTTCCTTATCTGATTCTTGGTTGAGTCTTATTCTTGGAGTTAACTATTCTCTGTGTTCGACCCTGGTACTACAGTTGATCTGTATCCTTGCGTTATTCGTTGTATCTAGGTTTTTATTATTTGCGTTTATTTATACACCTAGATTTGCGTTATCATGAGGACTCCTCCAAGTGTGTTGATAATCCAGCCGAGTATTTTACAAATAGTCTACGAGGACGACTCGTCCAGATTGTGATATGAAAATGGGTTAACGAGATGATGTCAACTCATTTTCTAGCGTTGGGTTATGAGAAATAATCTTTTTCTAGTGAAATTAGGGTTTTGGGAGAACTTATAAGAGAAGAATATTTTCTAGGGTTTTGATATGTCTCTTCACAACTTTAGATCATATCTCAAAGTTTTTTTTGATATAATTTGTTTTGTATTACTCAAAATTGGGGTACATAGTACAGGATAAAAATCCACATAAAAAAGCTTTCACTAGATCAGCTTCGAAAGGAATATAACTATTACAACAGATCTATATTTTCCAGATCTCAATATTCTAAAACCATTCCTGAGCCGGTCAGAAACCCTAGCACATAAGAGAATGAATTTTCTAGTCTTGCCAGACAAGATCTAGATGTTGGACTCTATACTAATGTGTTGATATCAGATATTATTAACATTTTTCTAACATCTAGTAGTTGTGATCGAAGAATCAAATCTATACTGGTCACATATCGGTTGGAATTGGAAAGAGTCCCAAAGATATGAGATTAGTTTTCTCGTTTTTTGAAAACTACAACATCCATGTTCGATTTTTAATATTAGTAAATTTTTTTGTTGCGTCTTCTTTGGTTGAATAAACCATAGAACTATATTTTTTTGTGATTATGAATTGTATGTATGAATATCAGTAATCCTAACAATAGCAAAATCTTTTGAAACGTTGTTTGAATTAAATAAATGAATAAGATAATAAAAATAAATAAATTAATAAAATATTTAAGGAAATGAGCAATATATTATAATGAAAAAAATAAAAATGCAATATTTGTAATTAAAATCAATAAAAGATAATTGTTATGAAGTTTAATATTTCGTAATAAAAAATTGTAAAATAAATGAAAGAATATTAAATTTCTTCATGATTAATACAAAATTATTAAACTAGGGTAATACTAGAATTTTTAAAATTCAAGGGTAGAATTTTTAAAATTATTAAGTCGAATAGCATATATGAACAAGCATTATATAAAAAATACTATCTATATACTATTTTAACTTCAACCCATAACTCTTTTTACTTGTAACCATATGATCAAAATTAGGGGTGGGCATAATATCCGAAAAAATCTAACCGATCCGGTATTCGATCCGTATTCGAACCGAAAAATATAGATATCCGGAGTTCACGGATCGGATACAGATAGTAGTTTCAAATTATTTATCGGATACAGATCGGATACAGATAGTAGTTTCAAAATATCCAACATATTCGATCTGATCCGAACGTTTAGCAATATTAATAATATATGAGTGATTTGGTAATTATTTTATAATTAAGGGTAATTTTGTAATAAATAAAGATATTCTAGAGTTTTGTTTCATCATTTTTTTTCCTTTACTCATTTGTCCGCTACCCCTCTCTCTATCCATCTGCCACCTCTCTCTCCCTTAATCCATCGTTTTTGTTTATTATTTGAATATTTTGGGGAACCATCAGCAAAATTCCAAGTTAAAATCGAATTTTTACCAAAGTAGAGAGTTTGTTTGTCGGAGCGAGACCAAAATCATCACCGATAGAGAGATCTGCGCATCGGAGAAGGTTATTTCCGTCACATTGAAGGTTCTTGAAGAGACAAATACTCTCTGTAGTTGATGGTGGGACTGGTCATCTTCACCGACAGTTTTATCAACAAAAACGTCGTCTTTGGACTAGTCGAACAAGTTGTCGACGGAGAAATCTTCGGGACAAATCAGTGGAGAAGTTTAATTTTGATGTTTGTTATTTTTTTATGGGTCAGATACAGATATTTATGGATATCCGTGGTTTTTTTGGATATCTAAAATTACGGATATACGAAAACTACGGATCGGATACAGATAACAAATTTTAGTATTTGCACGAATCGGATACGGATACATATATTGTAAAATTCTGAATATCTGATCCGTATCCACACCTAATCAAAATTATAGTTTATTACATGATAATCATATTGGTTATAACGTTAAATTTATAATAGTTTTATCAAATTGATTAGTTTGATATATAATAGGTGAATACACTGAAATGATGTGATTACTATAAATTTAACCTTATAAATAATATGACCAATTTAGGGAAAATGTATGGGTTAAACTTAAAATAACATGCATTATTTTTTATAGAGAAATTCCCAAAAAAATCATACAATTATGAGATAACTATCACATTCATCACAGACTTTTAAAATTTTCAAATTCATACTGGATTTAAAATTTTTTTCTAAAAAATCATTCGAAATTTAAATTTTAACAAAATCCTCATCGGAATAGAATTAATTTTGCCACGTAGGCAGAAAGCGCCTACATGGCGTCTATGTGGCATGTACATGTTCGCCACGTAGGATACACGTGGCATTAATAATAAAAAATTAAAACAAAATTGGAAAAAATATAAAAAAATTATAAAAAATGTGACAAAATTACAAAAAAAATGTAAAAATGGTAAAAAATATAAAATTGTAAAACATTTTCAAAGTAAAATTATAAAAATTGTAAAAAATTGTAAAAAAATTACAAAAAATTATAAAAATTGTAAAAATTGTAAAAATTGTAAAAAAAAATGTAAAAAATTGTAAAACAAATTGTAAAAAATTATAAATTTTTAATTTGTTTTTTAAAAAAGGGAAATTTCCAAAAAAAATCATCCAATTACGAGATAACTATCAAATTCATCACGAACTTTACAATTTTATACTTTTTACAATTTTTACAATTTTTTACATTTTTTGAAAATATTTTGCAATTTTACATTTTTTACAATTTTTATAATTTTTTGCAATTTTTTTTTTACAATTTTTATAATTTTTACATTTTTTTTTACATTTTTTGAAAATGTTTTTAAAATTTTATATTTTTTACGATTTTTACATTTTTTTTAATTTTTTCACATTTTTATAATTTTTTTTACATTTTTTCTAATTTTTTAATTTTTTATTATTAACGCAACATGTATCCTACGTGGCGAACACGTACATGCCACGTAGGCATCATGTAGGTGCTATGTGGTAAAATTAATTCTATTCCGATGAAGATTTTGTTAAAATTTAAATTTCGAATAATTTTTTAGAAAAAAAAATTAAATTCAATATGAATTTGAAAATTTTAAAATTTCGTGATGGATGTGATACCTATGATTTTTTTTGGGAATTTACCTTTTTTATAATGCCATGAGTACAGGGATCTGTTTAAACTCCGCAAGCACCCACCCTAATCGGAAGCGAATTTAGCACCGAGTCTGTGCGTCAGTGAGTCGACCGACTTGTTCATGGAGAAACTGCGGAAGGTGGTGAACGACATAGCCTACGCTCGAGACCACAGTAAGCTCCCTGCTCTTCACCGCTCCCTCCTTCCTCTCCTCTCACTCGCTTCTTCTCTCTACGGTGTCGGTCTCTCTCTCCGTCACCTTCTGTATCGCTTCTCCGTCTTCAAACAACACCGGTGAGTTTTTCCCAGGAAAAAAATGTCAACCATCATCATGATTCAGATCAATATTTCTGCTTTTGAAGCAAGACCCACTTCGATTATCCTACTCTACTTCGTTGTTATTAGCTGATTTGATGTTAATTTCATATTTCTCGGGGGGTTTCGTTCGAGCTTGATTGCTGTGGTTACTCTTTATATTTTTCTGTACTTTCTCGCCTTCGTAACAAGATTGCATAAGTGCGTTATGTTTGATTTTGATTGATTACTTATGTTTCGGTTGGGAAGATTGCCGGTGCCAGTGATCAGCTTGGGGAATTTGACCTGGGGAGGAAATGGGAAGACGCCAATGGTAGAATACATTGCTCGATGCTTTGTGGATTCTGGAATTTCGCCGCTCATTCTTACCCGTGTAAGCTATTTCTTTTTTCTGCCAAAGTATCTTTAGACTTGAATTTGGCTAAATTGGACACTTTTGATCAGAGTTTACTGGCGAAAAGCGAGCTATGTCTGCTTGAGTTTACTGGTTTAGTATCTTTTTGTTGATTTCGAATGCTGGAACTAGTTAGAAGGAAATTGAATCTTTTGGTACTGGTTTTAGGAGTTCATTGACAGATGAAGGAGCAATGTTTTTCAAGGATTGTCTGAGGTTGAGCTGGAGTTTCAGTGTCCCTTCGCCCTTGGTTGAATTTGAGTTTTGGAACAAAGATTTCGGGGACGATGCCAATACTCTTGCATATGATTGCAAATGGAGTTTTGTTCCCTAATAACCTATGGATTAATTTTGGATGACTTCAATGAAATCCTGTTTTCTATAAGTATTATGAGGCAATAATAGTAGGATTTCAAATCATGTGATATAATTTTGGAGTCTGTAAAGAAAAATAAAACTGTTTGATTTCAAGTTAAGAGGCTCAGGGCTGGTTTGGAGGGTTTTGTTAAATGACTTGAGTAGGCTAATAGGCTTCGACTAATAGAACACCAGAACTAGGTTAAATACTTCCTGTTTTCTAAAAGATAGTTTACGCTAATTTTCGTGTCAAACATAAAGCTTAGAATCAGCATACTTCTTTACTATCTTCACACTGGAGACGGAGACTAAAAGGCAGCCCAGTGCACAAAGCATCCGGTTGAGACGGGACCGGAGAAGGGTCCCACTACAGAGGTGTATTATTGTAGGCAAATTTTACTTTCTAGAATATTTTGCAAGAGGCTACTTTCTCTAGTCTCAGTCTTCGCATGGAAGACAGAGACTAGAGGAGAATAATTTGCATATTAAGCCTGTTTGTAATTAGCACGTGAAATTTACAAGATTTACTGGATTTTGACTTTTGTTTTCGTTGATAAGTCAAACTTATATATATATCATGTTCTTCCACTGCAGGGTTATTTTGGTGGAGATGAAGCAAAGATGCTTGAGAGGCATCTTTTAGATCTACCAGTGAAAATTGGTATAGGCGCAAACCGGGCAGCCTCTGCTTCTTGGTTTCTTCAAAAGTATGGATATTTAAATCCTTGGAGTGTGATGAAATCCTTTGATCAGTCCCCCTTCCATCGGGAAAGAGGAGATGAAATCATCTCCGAGAAAATTGGTGCTGCTATTCTCGACGATGGCATGCAGGTAATATCCAGCATTGAATTTATTTACTTTATTTGGCACATATAGCTCTATCGATTTGTAGCAGTTGTTTGTGCATAATGCAACCTTGAGTCCTTGTCTGGTTCGAAACCACAAAAAACTGCAGACGAATAGAAGAGGTTTCTGTGTTTTTCTTTAACGACACACTTCCATTCATGAAACATTTTGTTCCATGGCTCTACATATAAAAATACAAACTCATAACTCCTACATAGAAGTTAGGATAATTAAACTGCATTGAATTCAAAATACAGACTGACATATTTACTGCTATACGACATGCAGCTGCTTCTGCAATCCTATTGCTTCTCTGTTTCATTCTTCGACCTTTCCACTTACACACGCTTGAGTCACTTTTAAACTGTGCATTCTGTTTAGATAGACCAGAGACGATAAAAGGACACTATTAGCAGACCAATCCTTGTTCTTTCATTTATTATATGTAGTAAACTTTCTCCGCTATTTGGTAGATAGCATTGGAGTTTGTGCCGTGATCTCGAGATTGTGATGCTTAATGGGTTAAATCCGTGGGGAAACTCTGGTTTAGTTCCCCTTGGACCCTTAAGGGAACCTTTCACAGCTCTTGGAAGGGCAGATATTGCTGTTGTTCATCATGCAGATTTGGTATGTCGAACGAACCCGTTTTCATTTTTTTCCTTTCACGTTTGTTATTTTTCCCTAGTTCTATAAAGGTTTTCTATTTCAGTTAAAGTTTGGAAAAATTCCATATAAAATCGCGAACTTAGTAAAAAATCTCATGAAAAACATGAACTTTTAAAGTTCAAATTTAAAACACGAAATCATCCGTAAATACCAAATAAAACATGAAGTTACCATAAATCCCAAAGTTTGGCCATATGGAGATGAGGTAATATCGCAAAATTTCAAAAGTTCATGTTTTATCTAGGTATTGGGGACAACTTAATGTTTTGATCTCGGATTATAAAAAAATGAATGTTTGTGCTGGTATTTTTGGACCAAGTTTGTGATTTTGAATGGAATTTTCTCTTAAAGTTATACACTAATGTTGAAGTTCATGGTTGAATATTGCAGATAACTGAACAAAGCCTCAAAGACATTGAGCTAACGATACGAGAATTCCAAAACTCGATCCCAATTTTCTACACCAAAATGACTCCCAAATATTTATTTGATGCTAAAATTGCTACGTCACATGTACGTTTAGAAGCTCTGAATAAGGCCAACGTGTTATGCGTTTCAGCAATTGGATCAGCCGAAGCCTTTGTCAAGAGCATCAAGAAGGTGGTCACTTATTTAGTGGATGTGTAGCCAAAGACGTTATAGTTTCTGGTTTCTAATGGTATGTTATTTTTCTGCAGATAGGAGCAGATTACATTGATAGACTTGATTTCAGTGACCATCATGTATTTCAATCCGAGGTATTTTCTCCTTTCCCTCTGCTCTTCCCCTTGACATGAGCTGTACTCATTTCACGGCCCTTATTCCAACTTGTAATAGAGCTTGCAAACTGCTCAACGTTTCGATTAACCGCCAAGACTAAAAGCCATGAAGCTTCTGTACACAAAATAGGAGATGAGGGCAAGTCTCTCTCATTTGTATCGGCTAAAATCAGTGTCGTCTTCGATCTATGCAGGACATCGAAAATATAAGGAGGAGATTGCAGCACCTGGAGTACAAATTCAATTCCAAACCCATTGTTGTGATAACTGAGAAGGTATCATTCCGGTTTTCATTGGTTTGTAGAATATACCTTGAAAATTAGTATTCTCTCCTGTTTCTATCGTAGAATCGATTTCACTTTCCCCGTTCTCTTAAACCAGGACTACGATAGAGACCCGGAAATTCTAAACCTCCTGGATTCATACAAAATCTTTGTTCTGTGTTCGGAGTTGCAATTACTTGCTTATCGAGGGACCACTGCGGAAGGGTTCAAATCAACGATGAAGAGAGCTCTGGCGGCGAAGTTTTAGGTTTCGAATTAGATTCAAGCTTCTTCATGAATAAATTCATTCTTTACATTCAGCCATTGACAAAATTGTAACTGGAGTTTCTGTCCTTTGAATTACCAGTGTTTGGGGAGCTGTTGTTTTAGTCTTGGGATTTTTGTCCACAGACAAAATTGTCGTTGTTTATGGTTTTGTGTAGGGTAGGCATTTCAGGATTCAGAATTCTACTCGGAATTTTAGTGGTTTGTTTCGGAAATAGTTTATTGGGTACTATAAAATTTGTATTAAATTAGTATCGTATATTATTCAGTTGGTTATAATTTCGGTACGGTTCGGTTTCAGTGTGTGTTAAAATTTTTAGATTTTCTTAAGAAAATTTTGATTTTTTGGAAATTTTGTAAAATTTCGTTCGGTTTTAGGAAATTCGGTTCTATAAAAAATATATTGTCTGGAAATTTTGAATGGTACAATTTAAAAAAATATATTATTGAGATTTTCGGTTTTGTACAGATCGGTTCTACTCCTAGTTTTGTCCCGAATATATCAAATGTTCAAGTCTAATTCAAATTAAATTTAATTCCAACTGAAAGTTTTGTCCCGAATATATCAAATGTTCAAGTCTAATTCAAATTAAATTTAATTCCAACTGAAAACAGTGTCCCGAATATATCAAATGTTCAAGTCTAATTCAAATTAAATTTAATTCCAACTGAAAACAGAGAGAGAGAATTCAAATGGAACGGAATTTGATTCTGTTTCATTCCTTTTAAACCGAATAATTCCAATCTGAACCAAACCCAAAAAATTCCAACAATAACTAGTCAGTTGAGTCCTGCTCTTCATCGGCTTCGTCAACCTGGAGCGACTTGTAAATTAGATCTGGTACCACGAAATTCGCTATCCAATACAAGAGTATCATTCCTCCGCTGCCAAACAAGACCCAAAAAAAAATCTCAGATATAATATAACCAATCTATCTGGTTTGTTGGGAATAGAACACGAGACGAGCTCATCAAAATTTCGTAAACCGAATCTGAATCTGAAGTAACCCAAATATCGATTTTGGTAGAATTTACGAGGATTTTTTTCTTCCAGTTATTCATATGCATGAAAAAAACCTAAGCAAACCGGTCTTATTATAAAATATACTATCAAACTCCAACAATCTGGTTGGAACTGGTCTTATTATCTAATACCAAACTCTAACCTTGCAAGGCTGAAATCAATGTAATTGGCTTATTTCGTGAGACACGAACTCTGAAACAAAATCACACTAAAATGTAAATGATGAGAAAATATTTAGACCGACCTTATCTGAAGAAAGCCAGTGATGTCACCAGACTCTGAAGGAGGCACCACACTCGCTTTCAACCCGACAGTGGCCAAAGAAGAAGTTCTTCGCCATTGAAGTTCAGCCACGGAGCTTGATGAGGGCAAGAACACTTGGTTCCTCCCATGTCTGTGGTTTTTCTCTGTCGGAGCACTCAAGCCGACAAGACAAGGTGAATGATACTGTACGCACCACATTTTTTTCCCTTCAATTTCTCACTATTTTATTTTTTTTTATGTTATTTTTGAGATGTTATTTAGTTGTTTCCTTAGGAGAAATTTTGTGCGCCGATTGGGAAGAAGATGATATAAATGGGCAGCTAGGTCATGTATACAGATAAGATATTTTCTGGTGTTGGTGACGGGGGAGGGAAGGAGAATATGTCTTATTTGTTGCCACGCCAGCACTATGTCTTAAATAAAATTCAGTTTTCTTTTTCTTTATAAATCCCCAAAGTTAATTTATCTCATTTGCTTTACTTATAAAAAAAATTCATATATCCAGGCAGGCTACTAAAAAAACATAAACGAAGGATAGACCAGACCAGGTAAATATTTTGTGAGAGATATCAAATTAAACCGAATTCAAATAATAATTACTAATTATTTTGAATCAAATATCATTAGAAAATTAATTGAAAAAGATGTTTTTTCACTGGTTTAATTCACTTTTTAAAGAATTTGGAAATGCAGGTAAATATTTATTTTTCTAAAATGAGACCTTTTTATATTTATCACCTTATATATATATATATACACACTCCTCCTGCTAGGGCTGGGCAAAAAAACCCGGAATTCGGGTACCCGACCCGACCCGTGAGACGGATACCCGAAATTAGGGTATCCGAAGACTTAACGAGTGAGATCGGGTAATCATTTTAGAAATACCCGAATTTCGGATTCGGGTTCGGGTAATAATTTTAAAGTCGGGTAATTATCCGGGTACCCGGAATTAAACAAATTACCATTATACCCTTCATTTAAAAATAAACCCTAAATTCCTAATCCAATACTCCCTCTGTCTTGTTCTCCCAACGCCGTAAACCTTCTGCATCTCCTTTTTCTTTGATTTTTTTTTGCAGACTCAATCTTCTCTCTAATCTACTCACGTTTTATGGCTTGCATGGTTTCATTTCTTCTACTGTGGCTTATGATGACTTCTCCTCTTACATTTCTTTCAGACTTCCACGGTTTCGTTTCTCTGTAGCTTGCTCATTTTCTAAGTTTCTTCGACACTACATGTTTTGTTGCTCGTTTATTCAGCGGTTTCGTTCTCCTTTTTTTCAGATTCATTTGTGTAAATATTTTAAGTGAGGTAATGTATCAGATCTGTGTGTACATATGTATTTGTGATCAAAATGCTAAAATTTCATTATGTTTGTGATTAAAATACAGATATTTAGGTATTTTTATTAAAATTTTGATTTTAAAATCCGGGTTCGGATACTCACGGATACCCGGATATTATCTCGGGTATCCGATTTCCGGGTATCCGGTTAACTCGGGTTCGAATTCGGGTAATTTTTAAAAAAAAATCGGGTTCGGGTTCGAGTTCGGGTAACCCTAAAATTCCGGATACCCGATCCGTGCCCACCCCTCCTGCCATCATCAACGTTACATTTCTTCAGAAAACCATTCAGAACAAAGTTTATATATATATATCATGTTAGAAAAAATCAAAACCGGTTTGATTTTTCGATATTAATCACCTAATCACGTGCAAATTGAATTTAACTTGGTTCAAAATTTCAGATCAATTGTTGTCTAAACCGAATCAAAACCGATATAAATTTGACACGAAACCAATCCGAAACCGAATCAAATGTAGTCAACCTTATTTTTTTTCCTGGATCCAGAACAACATCGATGAAAAAACTCCAAATCAAAACCGGTCCCCAACTGAATCAAATTAATCTCGATTTCGTTTTTTCCGACAACCGGAACAAAACTGGAATCAATTTACTTTTTTCCCGTGATGTTCGAAACCAAATCCCTGAGGAACCTCGCTGACTTCGTGATCGGAGAATTCATCGCCATCAAATTGTACAGTACGGTCTCAACTTCCTCCATTGATGGTCGAGCTTTGAAGCTCGAAACCAGCTTGAGCGCTTTGTCTTTTTCTTCTTCTTCCACGAGAACACTCCATCTCTCTCCGCTCAAAACACCATCTCTCACGAACTTGAAGATCACTCCCCTTCTCTTGCTCAACACTCCTCTCACTTCAAGACCTGTAAACGCGTAAATCACTTCGAACGAACCCACGAACCTGCTAAATTCTTCGCCTAATGTCTTCTCTTCGTCGAAAACCCATCTCGGATTCATCATCAGCACCGGCTTCGGGTAAAAAACTTCCGCCACTGTTTCCACCTCCTCGATCTTTGATATCTCCGGCGCCATGAACACCGCAACGTCAGCAGAGTTCAGAGCTGGCCTGTTTTTTCCGGTGTCTAAAACGGAGTCTATGCCGGTGTTCTGGATACTGTAGGAGCGAAACTCTCCAGCAGCGGCTTCAGCGAATGAAGAGTCCGGCCAAAGGATGATGATCTTGGATTTGGAGCCTTTTCTCGAGATGGGTAAGTCATCGAAGATCGAAGAAGCGAGTTTAGACAACGAAGAAGGAGAGTCTTCGTCGACAAGAGGGATTTCGACACGGAATCTCGGCTGTTTCAGCTTCTTCAGTTTCGCAGATGCGAGTTTGGGGTTGTTGATGGATTTGAGGAGACAAGAAGTGAGACAGGTTCTGGCTTGAAGAATGGCTTCTTCCTTCGATGTGGGAGGCGAAGAGACAGAAGGAACAGAGAAACAGAGTGGGAGAAAACGGGTTGTGGGTTTCCTGTGAAGATTCGAAGGGACTGAAGAGATTTGGAGGCGGGAATTGTGGGAGAAGGATTCGGAGAAGGGAAGATGTAAAATTAGGGTTTCGTGGGGAGATGATTGAGAAGATGAGTTTATGGTTTTGAAGGATTGGGAATGGAGTTTGAGCCGAGTGGACGCCATGTTTTGGGGCAAAGAAGAAGGATGAGAGTGGGATTCAGAGATAAGGTCGCTAACGTAGTCGAATTCTTTGGTCTCTGTTAGTTCTGTTCATTATTATTTTGTTCTTTTCCCATTTTTCTTATTTTATTGATGAATAATAATTTAATTAATTAAATGTATGTCAATGACAATTTTGTATGATTACTTCAGAAATTTCAGTACGACTTAGTGACAGACTTTTAACTTGAATCTTAAATAGTACACGATTCTTATTGAAAATGTATACTCATATGTTCCCTAATTCTATTTCTTTGTATAAATTAAATACACTTCACTTTTTTCTAAATTACACTCAACTCCCTCTATTTCACTCTTCTTTCTTTCTTTCTGTTTCACCCTTTCTGAAAAAAATTCTGTATCATAATAAATTTTAACAATACAAACATTTTGTGTGTTATCACTTTGTAAACTGTTGTCTGTTTTATAAAGTTCCCTTCAAATATAACTCATATTTTCTCAAGTGATTCTCGTAAGTATTTCTCGTATATATAGTCCTCACTTCAATAATAGTCTCGACAACTCTTGTACTTACTTCTCTTTGTATAATAATTCTCTACAGTTGTATCTCAATTGTCTTTGCCGAATATTCATCTTTTCTTTACTCCAACTTGTGCAATATTCATCTTCTTTATGCTATGAGAATTGAAATGAGATTTCTTCAATTATGTTTGCTCCTTCCTTGTTTGATTCTCATATTTGCTCTTCTCTGCCTTTTGTCGAGTGAAACTTTCGGAAGATGAATGTGAATATACTGTTTTCATACATTAAATTTCTCTCATTCTTAAGAGCCCAACTGATTGTACCATTGTGAGTGCGGGTGTAACGTCTCGAAGTCGGTACGGAATTACGGAATGATAGAACTGTCCTCACACACCAACACGAGACTTTTTAGCATGTTTTGTCTTTACTCGCACACATACCGAAAAATACTTCCCAAAAGATCATCCATCCTAAAACTACTCCAAAGTAAACACATTTAACTTTGGAGTTCTCGACAGATGGATAACCGAAAAAATAGATGCATCTTGTTGTTAAGTGTTCACGTCTTCTGCGATGGGTTCTTACAATGTGGATAACATCAACATGGGAGTGCTATGCTTAGTATGCATGCTAGGGTTTAGGAAGATGGAAGATACTTGATATGAAACTGTGTGGATTGATCAAGGACACAGTAAAAACATGGCGATTGTAAGGCGATTCGAAACACCGAAATCCTAGACCCCCTTCCTCACTCCACCCCGCCGGCCGGCCTCTGCTGGCCGGTAAACACCTAGACTCCACTTAAATCATCCACCCATGGCCCCTCGTCTTTGCTCTTCTTCGGCTCCCCCTTCCCCGGGCCTCCTTGGTTCGGCCCCTCCCCCCTCAGTCTCTTCTTCCCTTCCCCATCTTCTCTCTCAGCCACCACAGATAACCCACTCCCCTGTTTCTCGTCAAACTCCTAAGCCCCTCCTTCTTGATTCCCGACATGTCGGAGAAAATCCTAACCCTAAATCTCTCAGATTTGGCAGTAACGGCCTCAGTATCGTTCAACACTCGAGATCTTGTCCAACCTCTCCGAAGCGCACATCCCCGCCTCCCATTCTTGGCCCGTGCAAGGAGAACGAGCTGGTGACTTCTTCCACTAGCTCCCCTTGTCAGGAAAGCGACACACCCAAGGTTCCTAAGCCGCCCCAAAGGAACTGGAGTGAGCACCTGTTCCCGGCAGCTCGGAAAATGCAGAGGCTAGGGTCGCCGGAAGTCCACGCATCGGGTATACCATTGGTCACTATTCCAGAAGAATCTTTGGAAGAATCATCTAAGGAATGGAAAGATTACCTCATAGGGCAGTTCTATGGCCTGCCCCCCTCCATGGGTCGCATCATCGGTGCAGTCAACGGCCTCTGGGCGAGGAAAGGGCCTCGTATTCGTGTACATGATGCAGGAAATGGTACTTTTCTGTTCAGAGTCTCCTGTGCTGAAGCTAGAGTCAAGATCCTTGCTCGTAAGTTTTGGTATATTGGGCCATGTCCGATGTTTGTCTCGGTATGGAATCCCTATCACAACCCCGACAAGCCCCCCCTCCAATCAATTGCTACGTGGGTAACCCTACGGAACTTACCGCACATTCTATACAATTCAGATTGCTTGAGCAGAATTGTGACAAGTATAGGAGAGCCCCTATACATGGATCGAGCAACGGCCTCAAAGGAAAACCTGGCTATTGCTAGGATTTATACTGAGATTCAGCTGTACAGGCCGCCACCGAATCAGATTGCAGTTCGCTTACCTGATAATAGAGAGTTGTCCATCAATGTAGCCTATGACTGGCTACCACCGACTTGCTCCCTCTGTCGAGAAGTTTGACACAATCACCTTCACTGCCCAACACATCCACCAGCTACTCTGAAGCAGCACGATGCAAGACCACAGCCTGCTAGTGCTAAGGATCATCCTGAGCAAAGCCAATCTCAGGCCCAACAAGGGATTGAAGTTGCTCAGGAGCAGCCTCTGACTCGGTCCACTAGTGTAGACACTCAAGTAAATGGTCAGTTTGAGATACCTCCTACTCAACAGGTTACACCTGATGCTCTGCCTACCAATCAGGGTACCACAAGCACACTAATTGCTCCCTCCGCAGAAGCATGGCAGCATACGTCGTCTCACAGTCCAGCATCACCGAAGCCAGAGAACAGTGGTACGAAGCAGAAAAGAAAGGCTCGCAGCCGCAAGGCTGCGAAAGGACACTAAACCTCCCCTTTTGGATTCTCATGTTTTTTGCATGGAACATCAGAGGACTTAATAGTCCAAATAAAAAAATTTTGGTTCGCAAGTGGATTCAAGAGAACAAGGTCTTGCTAGGAGCTCTTTTGGAAACACATATCCTTGAGGATAATGCTGTCAGGATCAAAGCCGCAGTCCCATGGGATGGAGGTGTCAATCCAACTATGATCAAGACCAACATTGGCAGAATTTGGATTGTTTGGGATCCTTCTATTCTCGTCACATTTTATCAGTCATCGAAGCAAGCTATCACGTGTGGAATTCATCAGGTCCGCAATAATCTTTCTTTTACGGTGACGTTCGTTTATGCGAGTAACAACGCCCCAACTAGAATGGAACTCTGGAGGGAACTGGTCTGCCTGCACTCTTACGCTCCCTTGATGCAATCACCTTGGATTATCCTTGGAGATTTTAATCAGCCCCTGTTTCTGGAAGACCGCTCTGATCTCAGTGACTTGCCTTCACAGCGACAAGGCCGCCAAGACTTTGCAGCCTGTGTTGAGGAAATAGGTGTTCAGGATTTGCCAAGTACCGGAACGCACTTCACGTGGTGTAACAACCAATCAGCGAATCTGTTATCAGTCAAACTTGACAGGACACTGTGTAATGATCGTTGGGTAGAAACATTTCCAACAGCTTATGTGGATTATCAGGCTCTGGGGCCTTCTGACCACACGCCCTGTGTGCTGACTTTCCCGTCTCTATCTTCCCAGATACGAAAGCCATTCAAATTCCATCACCATCTCATGTTGGTGCCGGATTTTATGCAGGTTGTTAGAGCACAATGGGCTTTGCATGAATGGAGTGGTAACGACCAATACAAATTGTGCAAAGCTCTCAAGTCGCTCAAGGAACCCCTTCGGCAACTCAACTTTAGGAGGTTCAACAACCTGTCACAACGTGTCAAGACTATTGAGGATCAGCTAAAACATGCTCAGAAGGTTGCGCTTGATTCTCCGACAGTTGAATCCATCGATAATGAGAAGAGATTAAGGAAAGAATGGTTGACACTATGTGCGGTTGAGGAGAAGCTGTTCAGGCAGAAATCCAGAATCAAATGGCTTCAATTGGGAGATAAGAACACAGCTTTCTTCCATAAAGTGGCTAACGCAAGGAATGCCCAAAATCACATTCATTCCCTTGTTGATGGTGCTGGACAGAAACTTGACTCGCCAGCCACCATTAAAGCACATGCTATAGATTTTTATACTGGTTTGATTGGGAAAGCAGATGTTGGAATCAGGCCGCCGACAGTTGACAGTGTCCGCTCTCTCATGAGGTACTCATGCTCAAATGATATTGCTGTGGAATTAACGAGAATACCCTCTACCGATGAAATCAAGCAGGTTCTCTTCGACATGCCGGATAATAAGGCGTCCGGGCCAAACGACTTCTCCAAAGAATTTTTCCAGGCAACATGGGAAGTGACAGGATCAGACCTAACCAGATCGATCCTGGATTTCTTTGTTTCGGGGCGACTTTTGGGGCAAACAAATGCGACCATTATCTCCCTGATTCCGAAAAGGGCAGGAGCGTGCTCACTAACGGACTATCGGCCAATAAGTTGTTGTAATACGGTGTACAAGATTATTTCTACAATCCTCACCAAGAGACTAAAGACAATCCTCCAGGACATTATCTCGCCTAACCAAACAGCTTTCTTGCAGAGAAGACTTATGCTCGAGAACATCTTGCTAGCAACTGAACTAATCCGTGATTACAACTGTAAAGGATCAAAGGCAAGTGCGATGATAAAGATTGACATTCGGAAGGCCTTTGATACCCTCTCGTGGGAGTTCTTACTAAATGTTCTCAAAGGACTCAACCTTCCGGTCAGATTCGTGAGTTGGATTAAGTGTTGTGTTACATCTCCAAAATTTTCCGTTAACATTAACGGGGAATTAGCGGGCTACTTTAAGGGCAGGCGTGGATTAAGGCAAGGAGATCCAATGTCACCGTATTTATTCATCCTGTCAATGGAAATTCTCACCAAGAAGCTGAATAAAGGAGTCGTTGAGGGCTTGTTTCGGTTCCATCCAAAGTGTAGGGACCCACTTATCACACATCTTTCCTTTGCAGATGATGTGATGATATTCTGCTCGGGGGATATTCAGTCGATTCAAGGGGCAGTGAATATTCTAGAGGAGTTCAGCACCGAGTCAGGGCTGATGATGAACCAGGCTAAGTCAGAACTCTATCTTGGAGGGATGACTACCCAGCAAGCAGAAACTACATCATCTACTCTAGGCTTCAAGTTGGGTTGCTTTCCAGTAAAATACCTCGGGGTGCCACTAAAGCCGACTAAGCTATCCAACGTCGACTACCAGCCACTGATTCAGAAAATTCAAGGTAAACTAGCAGCATGGAGCAACCGATGCCTCTCATATGCCGGCAGGATCCAATTGATTAATACTGTGATATACGGTCTTGTGAATGCATGGAGTTCGATCTTTGCACTCTCTCGGTTTTTCCTCAAAAAGGTTGACAACTTATGTGCGGGCTCTCTATGGAAGGGCAGTCAACCCTCCTTGGGATCCTATCGCATATCTTGGTCTTCCATTTGTCAGCCTAGGAGGGAAGGAGGTCTCGGGCTGAGAAGGCTGGAAGATTTCAACCTTGTATTCAGGTTAAAGCTCATATGGATAATGTTCACCAAGCTGGATCGCTTTGGGTGGCTTGGGTGAAAGCAAATGTATTCAAGGCTTCATGCTACTGGGACTGCAAGTTAAGTAACAGACTCTCTTGGACACTCCGAAAGCTCTTCAAAATAAAGGATAAAGCAAAAGAATTTCTGCGGGTACAGATTGGCGACGGGAATTCGGCAAAGTTCTGGCATGACAACTGGACTGGAATTGGACCTCTGATCACAGTTGCTGGCGACTCTGGCCCGCGGATCCTACGTGTCCAGAGGACTGCAACGATAGCACAAGCAGCCCCAGACGGACGATGGTTCCTTCCCGGAGCAAGGTCCGAAGCAACGCAACAGATTCTGGTTGTCATTGCACCTTTACAGCCTCCAAGGGCATCAGCGGGGCCAGATTTGGCTCTATGGAAACAACCAAATGGAGAATACGAACCGCGTTTCTCGACCAAGCTAACTTGGCAGCAGATCAGAACATCAAGGGCTCAAGTAGATTGGTTCAACCTTGTTTGGATCAAGGTAACAACCCCGAGGCTTAGCCTTCTGATGTGGCAAGTGATGCTGCAGCGTTTGCCTACCAGGGATCGGCTAGTCAGATGGGGTATCCAGGTGGACACAACCTGCTCACTCTGCGGATTGACAGACGAATCTCTCCCGCATCTCTTCTTCGACTGCCCTTTCAGCTCGGCAGTATGGCAACACTACGCCTCGCGATGTTGGAACTCACCACCATCCGATTTTCGAGATCTTGTCTCGTGGTTTAGAAGCCACGCCGTAAACTCGACCAGGAACAGAGGTACTCTCGCTAAGGTACTTTGCCAAATCACAATTGATCTGTTGTGGAAAGAAAGGAACGACAGAACATTCCGCGGAAAGGCGAGAACGATACAACAAACCCGGATCAGACTGGACCGACATATGAGAACCCTTCTAATGTCTGCGCAGATGGGGAAAACTCAAGCACATACTCGGTTACTCGAGGACTGGTACTACCACACGAACGGACTAAGATAGGCTGATGACATGCTGCTCCTAGGACCTTTAACGGAACTTTTTTACCACTTGCTAATGGGAATCCAATCTTTTGTATAAGTTTTTGTTTTACCATCGGATGTAACTTTTGGAAAATTAATACAATCACATTCAAACCAAAAAAAAAAAGATGGAAGATACTTGTCTTTTGTTTGATTGAATGAAAGTTTTTGGAATGTAAGCATCTATGGGTGTAACGCCACGAAACCGTTACTGAATGATAGGACTATCCCCACACACCAACACAAGATTTTTTAGTATGTTTTGTCCTTACTTACACATATCCCAAAAAGTATTTCCCAAAAGGTCATCTATTCTAAAACTATTCCAAAGTAAGCACATTTAACTTTAGAGTTCTCTCGAGATAGATAACCGAAAAGGTAGATACATATTGTTGCTAAGTGTTCATGTCTTCTGCGAAAACGTGTGAACAGATAATACATATGAACTGTTCGATAGAATGTACATAAGTATACGATTTCTAGATTGACATTGATTAAAGAATGAGTTCTTACAATGTGGATAACATCAACATGGAAGTGCTTTGCTTAGTATGCATGCTAGGGTTTAGGAAGATGGAAGATACTTGTCTTTTGTTTGATTCAATGAAAGTTTTTCTTATAACTTCTGCAGCTTTTTATTGATTCTAGTGTTTGTGGTTTGTCTACAATTTAAGATAATAGGTTCGTGATTCATTATCCGTATGAAGAATCGGTTTCTGATGTCCAGTCTTCACCAAGAACAATGAGAGGATTGTTGTTGCTTGGTTTCGGTTCACTTTCGGATACAGGATTCCAATTGTTTAAATTGCTTACCGAGATCGATTGACTAGAGAGTCGCTTGTGGAAATCCAACGGTTAGAACCAAAATTTGATTGTAATTAGAAGAGATCATGGAGATTAATCTACTAGTTACAGTTAATCAATAAATATCTTTGTTCTGTCGTATTAGGTGGTGGATCTTACCACTTTTGTTATGTTCTTTTATTCACTTATGTGAACGCTTGAATTTTGTTTTAGAGTACATTCTGATAGAATCTACGTTTTGTTTTTAGCCACGCCCTTATCATCTGTCTCTTGCGTTGCAAAGTAATATCTTCCTTGGTCTTCTTCATCCATGTTTGTTTTTTAATCACTTTTCCTCGTTCCCAGAAACTGGGAAGGCAACCATACGCCACCCAAAATCTTTTCATCTTTGTCCCAACCAAACCTCGCACTTATCTACTACAACATGGAAACGCTGTTTCCATCTTCCAATAAACCACATTCATTCCGCATGCTCTCATGGCTTCCATGGAGGGTTTTTCTCGCGATAATGGTGTCTCTTGCTGCTAGGGTTTCAGAGTTTTTTTTTTTTTTGATGTAATGTGTTGTGTATTACTCAAAAATGGGTGGTACATAGTCCAGGATCCAAATCCACACTAGAAGCTTTCGCTAAAAACCCCTGTAGCAGGAAAGAAAATTTTTACAGCATTATATCATTCGTCTACAATCTCTCGCTGAATCGTAAGTGAGTACCAATCCTGAAGCAGGGTGTTGCTTCGGCTTTCTCGGGCCCGTTGCAATAAATATAAATACCTCACTGCTTTTTTCAGCTAGTTTTCATGCAAAAACTTAAAAAAAAATTGCACAAAAAGCCTGAAGCTAAATGACACGAGTGTAAAGTGTCAGAACAAAAAAACCGCACCACCAGAACTACAGAACAAGTCCCAAATCCATACATTTAACTAAACACCAGTTTGAACTTAGCAAGCAGACAATGGAGAATGTTCTCAAGATCAACATACCTTAATTATACAAAAGACTAAACTCTCTTTAGTTGCCCGTCGAGTCCCAACGCCAAATCGTCCCATCCTCACAACAACTAAGAATAGTGCTGCATCCCACGGAAGAAGAAGAAACAGATAGATCTGTCTTACTGAAAGAAGTCATAAAAACCTTATGATCCATGCATTGGTAGAAGTGGATTAGTTAGTTACCTTCCATCAAATGACATGGCCGTTTGTCTAATCGGAGACTTTGATTGATTGTGAGACAACCTGTGATGAAAAAAAGGATCGTGTTGAGAATACAAACCCGCCAAAGTGACGGATCAAACGAGCGTTGTTGAAAAATTCAACCAACCTCGCAATCAAAACAGGAGGGCTACTTTGTAGTTCCCATACATAAATCTTCCCTTCACGATTCCCTGATAACACACCGCCTTATTGCTTCATCGCATGGACAAACTATATATAATGTGACTTTGTTTATAAATTGGTGGTTCTGTAATATTACCTATAGCGGCAGCGTTGTAATGGAAGTCACATGAAAATTTGATGAACCAAATGTCACATTCAGGAACAGGGTACCTTTGTAGGATATCTGCTGTACCCTGCAAAATGATACTTGAATCTGTAAATAAAGCACTCGAGATCGAACATTTATCCTTTTGACACGAAAATGAAACCCTAACCTCTCCAGGAGACTGCTCTTTTGCTTTTGGTTCCCACAACACGATCTCATTGTCAACGCTCTGAATAGCGCACGAGCAAAACATTATGAAGTGCCTTGTACTTTAGCTTTATCCATCACTAACACGGACTTACCTTTGAAAGGACAAAATCACCAAGCCAGCGAGTACAGTCCACATAATTTGAGTGAATTGAAGCTATGAATACCTGAATGAATTTTAAGAAAGGTCAACAATGTTTATACGGAATTTATTGTTCAAACACGAAGAAGAAAGTATCCACGTGGAGTTGTACATAGAAAACAATATACTCACAGGGAATTGCACATATTTTGTGGGGAATTTTGATGGTAGGTCAGTCCATGTGAAAGACTTCTCCACATATTGCCAGAACTCTGGAGATAGCCCAAGCGAAAAATGGAGACACATTTCTAAAATACTCACGAACGGATTTCTTTACAAAGGCACTCAGGTTGTTAATACCTTTCATCGACCATATCTTAACAGTGTTGTCCATACCACAACTTGCAATTCGGTATATATCTGAAGGATGGAAATCCTACAGTTTCCAAGAAACCCTTGTTATCCTCAACATATCCTTACGGCGCTGAAACTAGCCTTTCCTTTACAAACCAGTCTTTCCCTTGTAGGCATAAAAGGTCAGTTATACTCACCACACTTAGAACTTCATTGCGATGACCCCCGGAGCCCGCAAATATCAGAACGCATATTCCAGTTTCAACATTCCATAATCGAATCGACTCATCCTGATCCATTTCATGCCAGCATTATTAATCATCTACCATCAAATTAACCTTCAGATATAGTAAAGTATGCCAAAAGATTTTGTTTTCACTTTGTTTTACCTTGCTTGCAGTTATCACAAGTGAAGGCTTCAATGGCTGAGTCCTGATTTCATTTACTGAATCTCCATGACCCACGAAACTCTACATATACATTAGTATGTGATAGCCAAAAAGACAGATACCATGAGAGAAACGGCACCCATTTCATTGGAAAATTCAGAAGCAAGATAAACTCAATCATTCTAAAATGCAGAACATGTGATATATACCTTATATATTTTCTCATTGTTGGCATCAATGACACGAATGATACCATTTACACCTCCAGCCACCACGAATGGGTTCCCACCAATGCCGCATGCCCAACTTACAGTGTAAAAGGACTCATCCTTCTGATCTACAGAGCGCATGGATACACCCACAACACCTTCAATGAACCTCGAGTTTTCTACTTCCCACAAGATATAAGTGGAAATACATGGTAAATATCAATATCATTTCTTACGTCTTCGTCAACATAAGATTGCAATGCGGCTATAGCACCACCTTCAAGACATTGGTAAACAGTGACCTGATGGATAGAGGGGTACAAAGTGAACAATCCCAAACTCCCTACAGTTAAACTTCTGAAAGGAACTGGCTACACCAGCTTTGATGCAAACTCATGTAACCAATAACATCACTCGATAATTCAGGAAAGACAGCAATGCCTCACAGTAGTTACCCATACGTCATTCTCCTTTGTATAAATCAACCAGAGAGCTTAACTCTATAATGTTGGAACAATCTATGAGCTTACGTTTGCCGCTCTCAAATCGGCAGTAGTAAACTAAACTAACAAGTAGATATTTTCATATGGTGTCATGTGAGACAGAATTGAAAGTAATTGAGAGTATCAAACAGCAGCGACAAGAGTAGCAGAAGACAAAGTTCTTTCATCCAAGTAATTCAACAAAATTCCAACCCAACAGGAAAAAAGACCAACTAAAGAAGCTTGTGTCCAGAGGATTATATGAAAAATCTATCGTTTTCGAAGCAAACCCAGAAAATTTTACCCGGTTTCCGCCGACAGTGGCGAAGACATTGAAGAAACGAGAATCAATAAAGTTGAAGACGACGGCGTATAAGGGTCTTTTCCCTTCTTGGAGCCTGTTCGTGACTCTGTAATCTCTCTTCTTCGATGGCGTCAGAGATCCCACCACCGACTCGTTTCCTACAGCTGGTTTCGCCATTTCTACACAATCTGATTCTCCCTCTTTGCAACTAGTTTTGTTGGGTTCGAACTGAAGAAGCAAACCCGCCGTCTTCTAGTCGAATCGGGATATAGTTTACACTTCTAACTAGGGCAGGGCCGGTTCGGTTCTTCGGAACCGGATCGAACCGAACCGTTAAAACGGTATTTTTTTTCGATTTGAAACCGCTGTTATTTTCCGAACCCTACCATTTTTAGAGAACTGAACTTTTCCGGAACCGAACCGAACCGAACCGAACTTTAGAAATCCCGAAAAACCGAATATTTTTAAAGAAAATCTATCATTTTTTTAATGAAACCCGGAACCGAACCGAACCGATACCGAAACCGAACCGAACCGAATACAATAAAAAACCCGATTGATACATATTTTTGTAAAACCGAAAAAACCGAACCGATCCATTCCGTCCCGAACCCGAACTGTTTCCCGAAACGCTCATCCATACTTCTAACTAGGGGTGGGCTACAGTAAGTACCTTAAATATTGGGTAATAAATTTTAGTAAAAATCTTAAAAAAAACACTAAATTTTATAATTTTGACAAAAAAATATCCAACTCTTAATCAAATTAACACTAAATTTTTTAAATAAGTTTTAAAAAATATTAAACTTTTAAATGATCCAAAAAATATATAAACTTTTACATGATTGTCAAAAAACACTAAACTTTTAAAATGATTCAAAAAATACACGAACTATATACAATTATAAAAAAAATCAACGACAATAATATGACGTATTTGTATCTCTTTATGCCACGTCATTTCATTTGTTTATTTTAATAATCGTAGAAGAATTAAGTATTTTTTTGACAAATTTAAAAAATTTAATGTTTATTTGACAAAATCAAAAGTTTAATATATTTGTAAAAAATAAAAAGTTTAATATTTTTTTTTTGGATTTTCCCTAAATTTTATTATCTAGTTTTGATTTTATATAAACTATGTATCTATGATTTATATAGATAAATAAAGTAGTTGCACTTCTCATAAAATTGTTTAAAACAATCAGAAAATTAATGTTACAAAATTAATATTAACAACATTAATATAAATTTAAGACATTTCAATTTGAAAAATAATTTTATTTATTTTATTTCGTAAAAGTCGAGTGATAGCTCGGATTTTGTTTGGATTTTATACGAGTATACATTTGGTTTCTAAACAGTTTTTCATATACTTTTAGGCATTTAAGAGCCATCATAGGGTTCTGGACTATTTCTTGACTTTGGGAGAACCTCAAGGGCATAACGTGGAAATTCAGCGAAAAACTGAGAAAATAGGCAATTGGTCTGCCCCTGACCAAAATCCACTCCGGCAGACCAATCGTGCTCAATCTGCCCAGTCCGGAAGAAGAGAGAAGACTAGAAGAGAAGTGTTGAGTTCGGCCCTAACCAAATCTGGTCCGCTGGACCAGATGTGAATACCGTAGTCCGTCCCGAAAGCGCTGAGCCAAGCAAGCTGACCAAGCCCGAAATGAGGATGTGGTCCGGAACTAGCCACTTTGTTGGTCCGTCGGACTAGGAGTGTTCCGCGCTCAGCCAGTCTGCCAGCGTACTACGAGCCAACCGAGCTGACCAAGCCCAGATGAAGGCCTGGTCCAGAGCTTACCTACTGTGGTCCACTGGACCAGGATTGCCCTGAGCTCAGCCAGTCTGCCAAACCACTCCGAACCAAACGAGCTGACTAGACCTGGATGTGAGCTTAGTCCGGAGCTGACCGATGCAGGTCCGCCGGACTGAGAGTTCTCTACTCAAAGGCGGCCTGCCAGACAATCTCGAGTCAACCGAGGAACCCTCTGAAGACCCGTCCGGAGCTGACCAATTGTTGGTCAGCCGGAACAGGATCACTTTGCGCTGCGTTTTTCCACTCTTTACACATCCGGTCCGCCGGACCAACTCTGGTCCGACTGACGTGGAAATTGTTAAGTCCGTCATTTTTGGACTTTTGATAGGGAGATTGATTTTGGAGCAGAAGAAGCAGCGATTTTCTCTCTTCCAGAAGACCTAGAGCCGAAATCTTGAGGGATGAACAAGGAGACTTGCTTTGGATTGAAGATTGAAGACCTTATTGAGCATCTCTCTCCCCTTTCTCTCTCTATGTTCCATCTTGTTGCTTTGGTGTTCTTGAACATGAGTAGTGAGTAGTTTCTTGTTGTGGGATGAGGGATTAGCCCTCATGTCAGGATGCTTGTATTCATCTTTGAACCCAAGATTGTGTTTTGTTTATGTCTTCAAACTCTTGCATTGAATGAAAATCTATGCTTCATGTTTATCTCTCATCTCTCTTGAACGAATCCTTAGGGAGATTTAAGATTTATGAATTAAGTGATGCAATTGCTTGGATTTGATTGCTAGAGGTTGATGAATGGTGTTTAATGCTTTCTATTGGGTGAAAATCTTGTGGGTAGATTTTAGAGTTGTGAATTCCATGGAGACATGGGGTTCTTGATTCTTTGATGCATTCATTCAAATAGGTTGAGATTGAATGCGAAGAAATTCGGTTCAATTCAACCTAGGATTATGACAGGGGGATTTAATGCATTCGGGGATTCATTCTAAGCCACGAAAGTGTGTTCTCTTAGATAGCGGGTATTCGACTCGAGAGAGCCAAACCCAACCTTAGTTTTCGAATCCCTCACTTTAGTGTTGGTTTAGTGCTCTATGATGTACTGTTGTATGAGCTTTCTTATGATACATTTGATGTATTGACATTTTCTATGGTTTTATGGATGAGTGTTTGATTTATTACATGTTATGCATATTTTAATATGTAATGAAATCCATGTATTGTGAACAATACTAAACTCCCTAGTTATATATCATTGTGGAAATAATGATGTACTAAGACTAGTATGATGTGTGATAGATGATCATAGAGATGATCATGAGTATTGGATATGATCACAATCATAGGTATTCATTGGACAACGGAATACTGGATTGACCCGCATGAGATTGTCACATGGATTAGCGTCATGACTTGAATCTCATGTGACGGTTCCATGATTGGACCCTATGACCTTAGATATCTACGGAATCCAACATGAGGAGTTGCGTACTTTGAATACGTCAAACGTCCTGCATAACAGGAGGACTATAAAGGCGTGTATCAGGTATGACACGAATCATGTACTGGATTGTAGATAGTCAAGATGGGATTTGTACATCTCGTAAAAGAGAGAGATATCGTTGGGCCCCTCGTGTGAGCTAGACTGTAGAAATGTGTGGCCGCACTATAGACGAACGTTGTCTATTTTATAAAGTCGAACTTAGTGAACGAGTAAGCAGTCGAATCAGATAAGGTGGTTTTTCCATGCTTTATGTTCGACATATGATATCGTGATACAAAAGGATCATCAACCTGAATCATCACTAGCATTCGTAAGATCACGAACAAACTCTATTCGTGATAGGTAGTCATAGTGTCTTGCTAGAGACCACCTATGATTGTATATCCGAAATAGAGATTTCGGGTTATACTGCTATAAACGAATGGGCCTACAGCGTCACACATGCAGGGAAGGACGATGAATGCACGAGAAAACGACGAAAAACCGAGATAGAAGGGTCCAGACCCGACGGACCAGAAGGGCCAGACCCGACAGTCCGGCAGGTCCAGACTCGACGGGCCACATAAGGTAGACCGTCCGTTCTGCATGTCTGGAACGAACGATCCACAAGTATTTCTGGATCGTCCGTTCTGAATTTCGGATTTTTCAAAAATAAACCCTATTGGGTTTCCTGGGATCTCAAGACCGAATCTAATTCCTAAGAGATCAGTTATAGGGTTCGCGCAGCGGATGTAAAACAAAAATTTTGATGAAACCCTAAAACCTATCATGCATGATCTTGTAAAAACGTTAGAACGCTTACCTCAATCGATCCGGGGCCTGTATTAATTGAAGAATTCGTCTGATCACGAAAGGGAGGAAGAATACCTCTCCCTCTACACGTATCCACACCTCGGGATGGATTCCAACCTTTTGAACTTGTCTGCTAGGACTCGAATCTTCTATTCGATGATGTGCTTTGAGAAAACGAGACTTAGATCACTTCTTAGACCCTCTAGACTCTCCAAAAAGGTCTCTTGAAGTTCTCTTGGTCGGCCACCCAGTCTTAGGGTTATTAATCTTCTTTCATTAAAGTGATTAACCCTAATTCCGAATTTTAAATTAAATCCGAAACCTAGACCGAATGGACTGCTTAGTAGTCCGTTCGGTCTAGACACTTGGTCCGTTCGGACAAGTCACAAAACACAGTCCGTTCGTTCGGACTGGTCAGTCCGTTCGGTCCAACACTTGGTCCGTTCGGACTGGATCCTCTAGTCCGTTCGGACTGGATCCTCTAGTCCGTTCGGTCCAACAACTTGGTCCGTTCAGACTAGATGCTCTGGTCCGTTCGGTCCACTCTTGGACCGAACGGTCCGGACCACTTGTCCAGATTTCTCGACGTTTTCTCGTGTATTTGTCATTCCCTGCGTGTGTGACCCTGTAGGCTCATTCGATATAGCAGTATAACCCGAAATCTCTATTCCGGATATACAAGTCATAGGCGGTCTCTAGCAAGACACTATGACTACCTATCTCGAATAGAGTTTGTTCGTGATCTTACGAACGCCAGTGATGATTCCGGTTGATGATCCTTTTGTATCGCGATATCATATGTCGAACATAAGGCATGGACAAGCCACCTTATCTGATTCGACTACTTTCTCGTTCACT